CACTTACACAGCATTCATGTTTTCAGGTTTCATAGCTACTCAGAAATCTTAAAAGTGCGGCCTTCTACTGGTTTTCTTCCAGAGTTGGGCTTTATTTAGTCTGTTCTGCATTTAGGCCAGAAGGTTTCGTGACCTGAGCAACTTTTCCTTCCAGGTTTGTCGTTCCTCATTTCTCTTGGCTTTCTTCTCTCCACTGATCCAAAAGAGGTTAGCGCTACTTAGTGATGTCACCAGGTGAGTCTGAGCCCAAACAAGAACAGATAACTGCGCTCAAGTACAAGTAGCACTACTTCAACATATTTTCACTCAAGGAAAAGTAAAAAGAAGACATCCAAGAAATTACCCAACTAAGAGTAAAAAAGTATTTGGTAAAAAGTTTACTCAAGTACTGAGTCAAAACATCAATCATTTAATATTTAAAAATGACATCATCAGACAGATAAAATATAAATTAAGTGAACATTTTGGGATTTTTATAAGGACAAAATGACAATAATTCAAACAAAAAACATTTTTTTGCATAATTGTCAAAACTGTCACACTGTCAGAATGTTAGGAGACAGATAATCTGCAAAACTGCTGGTGGTCCTTCATCTATCTGCAGAAATATGCCACTCCTGGTCAGAAACAACCAAACAGAGCCAGAGGGAGGGTCTGAGCGCTGTCAATCATGCTTGAGTATGCGCTGTTCACATCCTTTCTCTTTATGCTGCCTTCACACCGGAAGCCTTTCGCGCATCAAAACTACCAGTTGGACACGTTTGAACTGTGAGGCCAGACGCTTGACATTCTGCTTTATACACATCAAAATTGTTCTGGAAGCGTTTGTATAATGGCGGATAAAACTGAGAGAGCGTCTTGGTTTTATTTACTGACAGGAAGAGAATGTCTCCACAGGACATGGATGTGAATTCTGCATCTCCTGGCAGGTGTGGAGAATTTATCCTTTTCCATGCTGAGTTCTTGATGTATGAGGCTGAAGAAGAGTTGGTGAGTTGAATTCATGAATCCATTTATTAACACCAAAATATAGCCGGTCCTTTTCTCATGCTACCTTTACGAGCTAGCAGGACAAAATGGCAACAAGCAACACTTGGTAACTTCCTTTGTTAGCCTCTGTCTAACGAGGGCGTTGCCTAGTGTGTCATATCCTGTAATCCTAGCTCTCATTTGCATTTCCTAACATGTCATTTTCTTTAGCTTTAGCTTAGCAGCTAGCTAAAACACTGATGATTTATTCTCAACACAGGACACCAACTACCGGTCACTATGTCACATAGTACAGTCTCCGATTGGTTTGCGCTCCCAGCGGCAAAAGTTCAGATTTTCCAACTCCAGCGTTGGACGCCTGACACTCATCGAAATGCTTCCATCGCACGGCCATGACGCGCCGTCGACATGCCTCCACAGAGTCTATGAATGTAAACCAGACCCTCCTGACGCTCTAAACGCACCATAAGTCGTTTCTGTGCTTTTAGCACATTTGGCAGCAGCTTTAGAGGTTGTTGGACTTAGATACCCCCATACCCTCATGTGAAACCACAGTTTAATCACTGGTATGCTGCACCGTGTACACAATTATTTTTCAAGCAAAGTTGCACATATTACGCCACAGTAAGGACAAAGGTGAAGCTAAAGTAAATTAGCATCTAAAGGGCACTAGGAGAGCCACAAATGAAGCAGAACCTTCTCGCTAAACGAGAAGCCCCCGGTGAGGGAGACTCAGGCAAAAGCTTAGTGTGTGAGTGTGTGAGCGCCAGAGAGTGCATGCATGCTCTGTATGTGCAAATGAGTCTGAACTGGCAATTAATTATTCAATAAATTAAAGCTGAAGGACACAGAGGGGAAAAGTAAGAGCAAGGAGGGCAGAGAGATTGGTGAGATTCTGTTTTTCTTCTGGCTGGATTCAGAAGACAAACGATCAAATTCTGCCGAGCGTTTAGAAGCGAGGAGATGAACATCTTTCTGCGAGCAGCTAATGGTCAGATGGACATTTTTAAAGGTGCAGTATCATGTAAAACTGACTTTTACAGGCATGTTATAATCAAAAACATACCTCTCAAACATGCCTAAGAAAATCTCCATGGCAACCATTCAGCTGTGCAAAATGCCTGGATGGACATAGCTCCGCCTTCAAAACGCAGCTCCTCCTCAGTTTCCAAGTTTCTGTCTCCTTCAGACTAGCCAGCAGCAATTAGCAAACATCTGGCAGCTCATTAAAGGAGCTGCTTCTCAGTTAAACGCTGGTAAGTCATCACCATGTTGTGATGACTTCCTGAAGGCGGAGAGTCAGAAGAGCAGGAGTTTCTTAAAGCGACAGACGTCCAATTTCAAGGCGTTAAATTACGAAGTAAAATTTCTTTGATATATATATATATAAATATATATATATATATATATACAGCATAGTTCCTTTATTTTGCTATAAAATGATAGTACCTGCCATGAAAATACACAATACCGTTCCTTTAAGACTTCCCTGGAAGGAGATTCAACAGTTTTCTCCAGCTACTCCTGCTTCCTGTGCAGCCCAGATGCATTCTTGCTAGCTTAGCGACCCATCACTAGCATGAGTGTGTGTGTTGGCAGGTTGTTCCCCCTTTCGCTTTGTGACTGCAGCAGATTAGCAGCAGCCCTGCGTGACCCTGAACAGCATTAAAGAGGAACTTCAGCGTTTAAAAAGCCTTGAGCTGTTTACCAGCGACGGATCCCTCCGGCCTGCTTCTCATTTGCATTAAGCGGGAGGGAAATAAAAAAGTTTGCTGGTAAACTAGTAAAAGATGAAACCAACAAGGCTGGATGTGAATCCATCAGCAGTACGGCCATTTAAATAATAAATGAAGAGCTGCTTCTGAAGGCTCTTCCAACACGTTTGGCAGCAGCAGTCTGCTGAGGGTATTATGACTTTCTGCCCAGGGCGGCAGAGCCAGGGGATTACCACAAGACTGAAAACATTCAGTCTAATCAGGTTTTCTGGAAGGTCCGGTCCGTCTGTGGCTTTCTCAGCATATTCACTGCAGATACTCCAGCAGGAGTTGCTGAAGTTGAAGTTTATGACTCAGAGCTTTTAGCTATTTTTCTGTTTTATGTGTTTTCAACACTTTTAACCGTCTAATTCAAAGTACTGGAGCTTCAGGCTGCTCAGACATTTTTAAAATAATCAAAAACAGCATAATAAATGCCAGATTACACATGAAAAGTTTTTGTTTCTTGCTGGATAAAAATACTCAACTTAGTGGTTGGAGTTATAATGTTTATAACTCTAATACAGCTGCAAATTATTTTATTTTAAATGTAAATTATTGCTGTGTTCAAACTGAAGCAAGCACACATTCAGAGATATCAGGGAAAAAAAGGACATTTTGTTTTTATATTAGTCCAACAATCGTCTTTCTGTTACTTTACAGGGTTTTTCCCAGACTGTCTTTTTCATTTTTCCATCTCGTCAGTTTAATGAGCAAATCCAAATGTCTGCACCTATTTCACGCAGATTTATTTTGTGCATAATGTGAAGCTTTTTCATTTCCTAATTCATCAATAATTCGCTCGTATCCCAGCTCACGTCTGTAGAGACGTGATTCAACCCTGGATCTGTGCAGCTGCAGAAGAATTGGTCTTAACGTGAACCAAACTGAGCCGATGAGGAAGAAGTTTATAAAAATCAGACGCAGTCAGGTTGTACGATGGTAACGGTTGGCTTCTTCCTCATTTCTTCCCAAAATATTCTGAAGTTTTCAGCGATCGGCTTATCGGTTTGAATTTCCCACATCAATAATATGCACCAGCATCTCATGGCTAATTATTCCTTCAACATGCTATTTTCTAAGCACTACTTGGAATTTAGAGAAGGTAATTTATATTTATGGACTTGCATTTATTAGAAAGTCCCACAAATCAAAATAAAAACCTAAAGATTAAACACAAGCAGCAGTTTCAGTGTTAAACAGCAGCTTGGTTAGATGTTTGGCTAAAACTAACATTTACAGTTACAGAGTAACGTTTTTGTGAAAGTTTAGTTTTAGGAGTATTTTTACTGTTACTTTCACTTGACTAATTTTATTATGACGTATTTTTGCTCTTACTTGAGTAAAACTTCTGGATTTTCTACCCCCTGAATGAAAAACTAACATGTTTTAACCAGAAATTCACCAGACACAGACACACACCTGCTGTTTCTGTTAAAGTTTCTGAAGTTTCACACTGAACAAAACTGATCTGGAAGCATTTTATTTTAGTTACTTATATGAATTATTGTCATTTTGATCCTTAAAATATCAAAATTTCCACTTAACTTTATATGTTGGTCCATCTAATGATGTAATTTTTAAAATAAATGATAGTTTGATTAGACTTTTTACCAAATACCTTTTACTTTTACTTGAGTAAAATCAAGTTGTCTTTCATTAATTTAATTAAGAACTTAGACTTGTCTGTCTGTTTGAGTTTTGATTTTACGAACCTGCAGTGTGCCAGGCTGCATAGATGTGTACATTTACATGTAACCAGTTTGTAATCTGCTTGAATAGCCCTGTTTTTGTGTTGTTTTTTTGTTTTTTCTCTCTCATGTCTGTCCTTTTTTCTCTTTTTATGTTTTCATTTCTCTGATTTGAGAAAGAATAATTACAGTCGTAATAAACACAAAGAAAACGTGTTCAGATAGTTACATGATTTGTATTTTCAAAATTTCAATAAAAATATTTTGAAAAAAAAATCGAGTTGTACTAGTGCTACTTTTTCCTGAGTACAGGTTTTGAGTTCTCTGTCCACCTCTGAAAACGTTTCAAATGGACGACCAGTTCCATATGTCTGAAAATTACAGCGAATTCTTTCACTTTTTTAATTCAAAACGTATCTTTTTCCCATTTTGGATTGAATTATGGGGGAAATTCTTCATAGTAAGTCCAATTTGTGAGTGAAACCCTTGGTCTACAACAGAGGCGCCAACTGCTCTGGGCCTGGAAGTAAACAAAAAGAGAAATAATCATCTTCTTTTAATCCTTGGCTGGAAGATTTACCAGCTGTTTGAGTCACTAATGCATTCATCACATCATATTTATTCACACATGCCAGCTTGCTTACAGGTTGGTGCTGACTCAGCAGGTACACGATTACTCCATCTCCAGCTTTTACTCCAGCTTTGAAAAAAATAAAAGATAAATAAATAACTCCACTGTGTAGATGTTGCTCATCCTCACACATCAGCTCTTCATATCCAGATTCATTTTATATCATTTTAGGACACTAAAAAAATTATTTATTTTTTTTTCCCAGATTACGAGCAAAATATGCCACCAGTTGTTTAAATTAAGCAATATTTACAACTCAGAGTCATGTTGTTCTTATCCTGCTAATAAAACATCCTTAGATCTGAAAATGTTACATATTTAGAGGGGAAAATAAAGATTCAGCAATTCAATAATTTTTTTAAGGTTCGGTCGCGCTGCTCTTGGTGGTTACCATAGCAACCGGTAACCGACGGCTCCGCCCCCTTTTTTCCGTTCGCCGTTCTGTAACTGTGGTACGTACTGGGACCAGCTCTGTGTTTTCTTTACAAGTATTACATTTTAACATAGTTTAGACAAATGTAATAACATTCATATTTATCTGTTTTCATTATTAGCTATGTTTAATTTTACAACTGCTAACTGCCGTTAGCTAGCAGCTAACAGCAGCTAACAGCTCATTGGGATTTATTGCTCTGTACTTTGTTCAGGGTTATTTATTGTATTTTATTTAATGTACAGAAGCTGCTGGGCTGATGTTAACCACCATCTTGATTTCCTCTTTTTGTAGCATGAATCCGGTGAGCCTGAGTTCAACCTGCTGGACCTGAGATGATCAAACAGCTGAAACACTGTGTCTTTAAATCTAGACTGAAAACTAACATGATTAGAGTTGGTTTTGAGCAATAATCAATGAAAAATAAATCAACAATCTGTTGCACTTAACAAAATGTAACGCTGCAGTTGTTGACTGTGAGTTCTGACTTTGTATTTTTGATGCATTTCACTTTGAAATACCTTCCTGCTGAAAGGTGTACACAAATAAAACTTGACTGAAGGGTTACAAAAGCATAAAATCTTACCAAGTATTTTATTCTTTTCTACTGAAAATATCTTTATTTCAAATCAGTTTAAACTAACTTACAAATAACTTTTCAGCAAGATGTAGACGCTTGTTTTAAGTTAATGATTCCTTTATATTGATAATATTGGCAGATTATTTCACTGATAACATGGGCAAAATGTATCGTTATAACTAAAACAGTAAAATAAGTGAAAATTATCTGAACCAGGCCATGAAATGTTCCCTCTCCATAACCTAGATTTGTTTTACAACTTAATGCAACAGAAATCTCTTCCCTGCTCTAACAACAACATCCTCCATATTATTCCCATCAAATGTATTTCACGTTTACAGCAAGACTTATTAAAAAAGCCTCTAAATCCTCAGTATCTTGATTTGATTTGGGTTTTTTGTTTCTCACATCAAATGGATGGAACAAGGAGACCAAATAAAGCAAAAACTGAAGACAAACAAGAGCGTAGACAGAAGCACAAACTGGACGTGGCTGCTAGATTTTAGCCATAATTTACTTTAACATCTCATAATAAAATCTTTATTAATTCAGAAGATGAAATATGAGCTAATGGGGTGAAAACATGAAGCGGTTTGTAAAGAACAGAGCCTGGTTTGGTGTCACTATGCTGATTAGATGGATCAAAGTTTCCTGGTTGAAGGGAAGCAGTTTGCCCTTCAGAATAACAGCGTTTAAACCAGGAAGTTATCTCAGCGAGACGCAGAACTGACTGCTTAAAAGTTCCCTGACAGCTACCCGTTAGAATAATTATTCATTCTGTCATCAATCTGAAAGCGGCAGGTTTATTATAATAAAAGGACCGAGCAGGCAGATGAAACCTGCCCTGGTTTTATGGGCTGCGGCTCGTTAGCTTATTTAATCAGAGGGAGGCATCAGAACCGGCCGTTATTCAGAGGAACCGTTCAGTCAGGAGTCGGTCTGAAGCTCCAGACACGATTCCTCCAGCTGTGCCTGGAACCGTCTAACTCAAATCTACAAACTTCATGTTGCTTTTACGATAAAGAATTAGAGCTCCAGCATGCTGTGACTGACCTGTTACAGCAAAGTTAATAAACAAAGTTGATCTGTTCGATCCTCCCCAGAATATATGGATAAAACACATTAAACTACAAAAACTTTAGTAAGTTGCTGCGTCTGAATTCGATTTCTTAAATTTAAATGTTGAACAGATTTTCACATTGATCGATTCAGTTTTTATTACGCACATTTTGAAATATTTGTGATACTTTCTGTTATTTTCACTTATTTATCATGGTAGATGTGACGTTTTTTTACTCATCATATTGATTATAACTTGACATCAAGTGAGGTTTGGTTTAATCCAGTTTAGTCAAGTTTAGCTTAGCTTAGCTTAGCTAGTCTAGTGTAGTTTAGGTTAGCTTAGCCTAGATTACCTAGTTTAGTTTAGTTTAGCTTAGCCTAGCTTAGCTTACTTTGGTTTAGCTGCCAGTATTTTTATATTTGTCCAAACATTATTTCTCTAAAACTATTTTTAAAAATTAAATAAAAACAACAAAAAAAATCAATGTGGAAGTCAACATGGCAGAGCAATGTAATTATAATATTATAATAATGTAATTTTAGGTTAATCACATAATTAGTGTAAAATATTATTAGGGTTGAAGCAACACTGCCACCTGGAGGTGGGAGTTGGTATTGTTTAAACTCAATACATTTTTTTACAATTTTGCAGACAGTTTGCAAAAAACTCACAATTATGCAACAGCACAAAAAATGCTGGGACCTGTTTTGAAGTGCGAATTTCCCCGATTGAATTGTAGTGAATGTAACTGGAATCACATCCACTTAAAAAGCCAAATTGGATTTTCAAATGAGATGCAACAAATTTACTTTAATCTAAAAACAGATCTCATGACCGCTAAATTACACTTTACATTCATTACCGTTCCTTGAGCCTTTTTATCTGTCACATTTTTCCTTCCACACAATTTTCCATCCACATACTTACAAGACTCAAAGACTTGCAGTTGCTTGTGGAAGGAGTCGATGACTGCTGAAAATTTGTTGAGTCTGCAGATTTGCACATGATTAGGTGATAAATTTAAATAATTACATTTAGCTATGAAACACTGTAACTTCTTGACAAACTAATGTTTTATGTATATTTCTCCTGAATCAATAATCATCAAAATTAAGAGGATTAAACACTTGAACACAAATCACTCTGTGTATAACAAAACTTTATGGGTTTTTCAGTGTTATTGAAACATTTTTATGGTATTCTAATTTACTAACATAAAAACAAACTTGTTAGCAAAGAGCCGTTAGCCGTTAGCATTCAGAAAAGGATCACCTTAACGATGATGCATATCTCAGGTTTTTGGTTTTCAAATTCAGCTTTCCGTTTGCACATATTGATTTTAAACACCTTCTGCTGCCCTCCACTTGTCTGCTTTCTGAATTTATGGGGAAAATAATCAATTTGCTGTCCTTAGATAAACAACCCAAAACTATTGATTAAAAACACTTCAGAGTACAAGAAAGTCTGGTTCCGTGACAGGAAGTGGGAAGCTGTTAAAACCTTTGCATGTGTAAAACGTTTCCATCTGTACAAGTAAGAGCAACACAACTTCAACATATTTTTACTCAAGTAAAAAGTATTTGGTATATAAATTATTGTCATTTTAGTCCTTGAAATGCAAAAATGTCCACTTAACTTTATATTTTGGTCCCTCTGACGATATAATTCTTTAATTTAGATTTTTTTTAAGTAGCAAAAAATTAAGAGACTTTTTTTTCCAAATCAGTTTCTTTCAATAGAAAACTGATGAAACTTTAACAGAAACTGCAGGTGTGTGTCTGTGAGTTTCAGGTTAAAACTTGTTTGTTTTTCATTCAGTGGGTAGAAAATCCAGTTTTACTCAAGTAAGAGCAGAAATACTTCATAATAAAGTTACTCAAAGTGCAGCGTAGTAAAAATACTCTGCAAAAGTACTTTTTCTTTTCAAAAAAGTTAATTAAATGTAATTGAGTAAATGTAACTTGTAACTACTCTCTGGACTCAAAGTCTTAAACATAACAGCATTGAAACCAATTGGTTTGATTTTGACGAGAAGTAAAGACTGAAAAACTCAGTTTTTTCTATCCCTGTTTGGAATTTCACATGAACTTAAAGTAAAGCATCAGACTGAGAATAATTGTTTTATTCGGATATTCTCATAAAAGTGATCAAATATAATGAGTTAATGAGTTTCCCCTTCAGACTTATGATATTTCTCCTTAAAAATAAAGTGAAACGACCACATTTCTTTGCTTTGGCCGCAGCTTTGATGAAGGAACAGACTGAATTACATACATCTCCTCCGTCTCCAGGACAAAACCAAGTGAAAACAACACCAAGCTCTCGCTCCAAGTCGCAATTTATCGATCGCTCTGATGCTTCGCCCACTTGGCAAACAGTCAAGGGTGTAAAAAGCTCCCTTCGCCACAGACGACATTTTCATGCACACAAAGTCTCATCCGGTCATTTAAGTTCCCGGCGTCTCCAGAAGTGACCAGAACAGAGGGAGGCACATCGAGGAGAGAGCAGCCTGATGAAACGAGCGGCTTTCTGCATGACAGGGAGGCCAGATGGCAGTTCCCTCCGTCAGACGGCGCAGCCAGCAGCGCCGGGCCGGCACAGATGGGGCCGCCGCCGGGACACGGTGTACCGGCCGCCAGCCCTCAGGTCACAGAAACCAGCTCTGGACAGGACCGAAGAAACGCTTCACCATCCACGACTCTGAGCCAAAGCGCCAGGAAATGAATGAACTCTTTCTGCTCCGGTCACAAAGGAAGCGCAGTGTGCATTCACTGCGTTTTACGCAACATGAGCTGCGTTCCCATCCGACATGGGAGGAATGGGATTACGAAAATAAGTTTGCTTCAAGGAAATACTGCAATTTGAAAAGCTTAAACAAAATCACATTTTTAGATAAAAACGCTTCTGCGCTAACGTGAGACAAACTGTGTTTTTTCAAAGTTAGCAGAATGTCAACAGTTTTAATCATAATGTTAATAATTCTAACTTTTATCTCAAAATTCTAATTTAGTTAGAATTGGGATTAAGATTTCTGATTTAAAAAAGAAAAGAAGTTTCTGCGCCATCACAGAAAGTCACATGATCAACAACTGTATGTTACTACTGGCGGAAACGTCAAAGAAGACGACAGGAAGTGGTAGGAGGACGATGACGCTGCATGTTTTTTAATGACTGAGAGTGAACAAACTTACTTATTTTAAGTTAGTTATTTCATGGAAACACAGCATATCAGCACATTTGTAATTGAAATGCAGCTGGTATTCCAGTTTTTCTTCCTTGCTACCAGCCTTACATTAAGTCTACGGAAGAGGATTAAGGCCACTGAAAAAAAACATTTTTAATTTTGACGTTTTTTTCCCCTGAAAATTCCAACTTTAATTTCAAACTTTTTCTCAGAATTCTGACTTTAAACTCTCAAAATTTAAACTTTCATCTCAGAATTTAAACTTTTTTCTGAAAATTACAACTTTAATCTCATAGTTTTTCTCAAATAACTTTAAACTGAAAATTCAAATGTAAATCTCAGAATTAAAACTTTTCTCAGAATTCCAAATCCAATCAAAAAATTCCATCTTTTATCTCAGACTTTTTCCTCAAAATTCCCTCTTAATCTCAGATTTCCAACTTTAATCTCAGATTTCCAACTTTAATCTCAGACTTCGGACTCTAATCTTCTGAGAAAAAAAGTCTGATTTCTTTTTATGTTGTTTGTTTTTAGTGGCACTAATCCTCTTCCGTACAAGCCAAAGAGCAAAAGCAGCAGGTTTAGACCCCCAAACACCCAGCTTGACAATAATCTGGCAACGTGACGTAGATCTTTTCAATCATATTGTTTTACTATCAGCAAAGTTTCCCTTAAAATGCCTAAAATTACTCTAAATTTAAATCCTCTGCAGCTCAGCAAACCAAGTTTTTCAATTTTCCACACCAGAAATTTGTTGTAAAAGTTTTTCCTTCCAATTAAAACAAACGAGTTTTCTCTCGCATCAGCCCATTTCTATAAATGATGTCCAGGATTATTGACAAACTGCCTTATTAAAACCTCAACGATCAGACAATCCCTCCAGGTTTGACTCCAGCCAGATGAAGGAGGCAGCAGCTGCTTCCCGCAGCAGCAGCCTCTTTGTCTCCCATTCTTACCCACACTGGTGGCTGGGGCTGAACTCTGGGGGACACTGCGGCGCCGCCGGCTCCCTGGCCGGACTCCCCGCCGCGTCCAGCACCCCGTCCCTCAGGTACGGGTTCCCCGGCAGGTCCCCGTTCACCTCGGAGTGCGGCGCGCCTGTCTGGGGCTCGCCGACCTCCTCCTCCGTCTCCATCTGTCCACCTGAGGCTCAGAGGCAGGGTTGCCTCCAGCGGCGCTGCCTCCGCGCTCCGGGCAGCATCAGATCCCGGAAAGAAGCTGTTAAAATCTGAGCAGCGGCGGCGGCGGCAGCAGGTACGGCGGATAATCTCACACTCCACTCCTCCTCTGCTCCTTCTCTCTCACCAGGCCCCCCGCCCCCACCTCTTTCTGCTCTCCCACTCGCAAACATTCCTCCACATGGGGAAACAGAGGAGGGCTCATTAAGGTGACAGCTCCACCCGCGGCTGAGGAGTTGTTGAGGGAAATGAAAAAGAAACTCAGACAAATCCTAAAAAATGAGAAAACAAACGCAGCCGAAACTAAAAAAAAAAAAAGGAGAGAGAGGGAGAAGTGAGGAGTGTTTTCCGTTCAGTCGGTGTTTGGCGCTCTTACAGTGCGCTCTGCAGGTCAGTGCAGGGAGGCTGTGAATCACACAGAGCGCCACCGTGTGGGGGGCGGCGGCGCACAGCAGGGGGTCCGCAGTTCCGCTTAGACCCTCCGACACACACACACACACACACACACACACACACACACACACATTGTAATCACATCCATGCTGCGTTCTCCATCACAACAGCTGATTATAATATTCTGATTACAGCTCAGGATTCATGTAATTCAAATACAGTTTATGAGTGCGGCTCTCTCCCCAGGGTGTCATCCATCCAGGGGCAGCAGATCACTCCAGAATGAAAAGCTACGTTAGCTGAATGGATTTTTTGTTGATCATCAGAAGGAGGAGCTACACTAAAGGGGTATTTCACAATTTTTGAATGAATCTGAAATGCATTTGATTCTCAGGTTAAAGTTGAGATTATTGGACAGGAAGAAGGTGAACTGGACAGTTTTGCACATTTATGATCTTGTGCAAAAACATAACAGCAATGTGCTAGAAAAAGCTCAGAAATGTTGAGATTATTTTTCTATTATTCTGAAAAAAATGTAAAAACTCAGTTTGTCTTTTTGAAATCTGGAGTTTGTATGAAATAGATTATTGTACTTTTAAGCTGTTTTTTATTGTTCATCAGAAATATCTTACTGTATTTTTGTCACAAAATATAAATTGTTTTTCTTTCTTTACTTCCAAACATAAACTTAAAATAATTTATTGATCTGTCATCATGTCCATATTTCTTATTGCAATGCTAGCTTTGCTCCTGAAGCTAGCACTAAACAAAAAGGTTTTTGACAAGAAAAAGAAAAAGGAAGCGTCCAGCAACGGCTGCAAAACACCTATGGACTCTTAATAATTATTGTCAATAAAACGGAAAACAAGTTAATATTTTTTTTTTACATATTTTGAAGAGTTGTGCGTTTGCCCAGAAGCTAATGGTGTTTGGGGGTCATGAGGCATGGAGAAGTTTGGAAACCCCTCCTCTAATTTGTAATTGAAGCATTACTTAATGTTTCTTTTTTATAAAAAAAAAAAAGGGGTAAAACCCCCAACATCATCCATTAATCAAACAGTTAAAGACCCATGATGGTCTTCTTACGGCTTCAGCCAATCAGCATCAAGGAACATAAACACCGCTTCCGGATTGGCTGCTTTAAAAATGCCAGCCAATCGCATGTCAACAGGTACCTCAGCGTCACAAGATGCATTTTACTTCAAATATTAAACATAATCTCTACAGAAATGTATGTAAAAATGATCCATGAATAATTTGGAGTTACTTCCACAAAATAAATAAATAAAATAAAATGACCAAATACTGGTAGCGAGTTTATGTACACATTGTATATAGATGTACCGGTTCATTCATTCATTCAAACTAAAGTGAAAGAAGGGCAATCTGAGATTAAACTGAGAATTTAATCAAAACTAATAATTTAATGATAAACTTTATCATGAGAAAATCTTGTAGAATACATTTTAAATAAAATAACATTATATATCGATCCGTATAGAAAAACCGTCACTGACACAACAGGTGGACAACTGTGTGATCTAATGCCTTCTGTGCACCACACACACACACACACACACACACACACACCAGTCATTTCCCTTCAGTAGATTTATTGCCTAATTTCCTGAACTTACCGTTGGGAGTGTTAAATGTCTGAAGGTTAACAGTCAAATCCTCGGATCAATGTCCGCGGAAGAATCCAGTTTATCCGCTTCAAGCGCTCCGAGTCGGCGGCGCAGATCGATCCTCCTGACGGCAGAGCAAATGTTGGATTATTCCTTTATTATGACAGCGCGCCGCGGTCATTTCCTCCCATGCTAAAGATAGAAAAAGGAAAATGTCACACAAGCTGCTTGGTGTGTCTGTGGGTCCAGGTGGCTTTTATACGAGTTGGACTTTCAGCCCAAACTCTCATCAGCTTTCAAAAAATGTTGTTTTGACATCCGGTAGATATATAAATAAATTATAAAGCATAAAATGAGTCACTGAGCATTTCCTCTGAGTGGCGGTCCATGCGGGACGGATCCACGCAAACAGGTGCAGAGCGGAGATTGATGAGATTGATGCGCTGAAGAGACTCCAACCCGACTCCAACACGCAGCCAGGCAGGAAGCAGCGGATTGGCTGCGCTCACTGCCTCTGCAGCCGTCCGTTCATCCTCTCACTTCAGCCCGGAGAGAAAACCGGGCAGGAGGGGAGGGAAAAGCCCTGATTGGCCCCGCATGTGTCCCAACTTTGACTCATGATGCGTTCAAGGTTCAAAAGCGTCTTAAACTCAACGGAGCGATGATGAGACCGACTGGTGGTTTGGTAAAAACTTGGTAAAAAATCAATGTTGAACGTGTTTGTTCGGGACATTTGATGTTTCAAAATTTGGCCAATCAAACAATAACGCAGACAGGAGAAAAAGTTGGTGAATTTAGATGATTGTCAAAAACACAACATCTTACTGTTGGTCTTGTTTTTAGTGCAGATATTTAAGTACACTTGAAATAAGACTAAATTAAGTCACAAGTAAGTTTTCAGCAAGAAATAGCAGCTTGAATAAAGTAAATAATTCCTTCATTTTGGATAAATTTATATAAATTCACACAAAATACAACTTCACAAACCGTAACATTGATCCAAAACAGTGAGTAAAATGTCTCATGTGCACATGTAATTTTTGTGCAACACTTGTACCAAGTGCAAAATAATTGTATATTTTATTTAATAACTTTAGTGAAACCTTACAAAATAAAACTGAAAACATTTTTATTTCCAAAGTACTCCTACAAAATCATTGAAAAGGCTAAACTTTTTTTAATTTCATGTTTTTCAAGGTAAAAAACCGTAAATGGCAGCACTTAAAATGCATTGTCCTTCCAGAAACTTTAAATTAATTATGCATATTTTTGTGCCATTTATTGATTTTCAACAATAAATGGCGACACCCATAAACATCGTTTACAAAACGTAACTTTAATTTACTTTTCATGAGCAAACATAACATTTAATTTATTCAGGTTAGAGTTGCAGATGTAACATTGATTTTAGACTCACTTTTACATGCGTGTCTCATAAAATAAACATGTTTATTTCATCTTACTACTGTTGTTGTGAGGAGCGGCCATTTTGAAACACGTGAGTTGCCTCCAGTGTCCCGCTGGGAAATCCGCCTCAGACGGCGTTGAAGATTATTCCAGTTAACTAAAACTAATGAAATAACGGAAACTGAGAAAACATTTTTGTTAAGTGAAATAAATAAAAACGGTAACTGTTGGGGGGAAACTGCAACTAACTGGAACTTAAAAAACTAAAACACACCAAAATTAAAGATGTAATATCATTTTCATGTTTATAAATATATGTATTAGCTTTTCAAACTGATGTGAAATAGATCGTTTTCTCCCACGTAACCAGTTTACGTCATCTGTCGGTAAATTATGGCGCTCCATGCGCCCCCTAGTGGCAACGCTACGCTAGTCCACAACAGTTGGGAGAAAACGCCAATTTGGTTGTTCAGTTGAATACATTAAAAAAGTGTTTTCTGCTGATCATTCGTCATCCAATCAATGCATACATAATCACAATACAATACAATTACAAATCTGTACCTAAAAATTAACCAAAGTATGAAATAACTACTAATATAGCTAATAAAAACTAAATTGAAACTAAACAATATTTAGCTAATATTAACTAAAAAAAAACCCCAGCAAATCCACTTTAAAAAATAATTAAAACTAACAGGAAGTCACAATGAAATAAAACAAAACTAGAATGAAAACCCTGGTTCCAGTTGACTTTTCAGACCTGGAAGTGGGAATTTCAGAATTCCGAGTAAAACTTAAACGCAGCATAAAACCACCAGGGGTCCCTGAATCAGTTCTCTGCACAAAACAAATGTTTCTGGCTCTTATCTCACGACGGAGCAGGAAGAGCGACGATCCAACCACTCTGTGATGAATTACAACATAAATCAGTGTTTTTACGTCAAACAGGAGCCCAGTAAATAAAGTGACACAAAAAGTTATCTGGTATTTTTAGAGGAGAACTTGGTGAACTTTAATATTTCTTGAAATATTTCCTATCATCAGTTTGCATCAGTGAATAAAAGGGAAGACTTGATGTGATGGTAGACGCAAAGATCTGAATAAAAACAGAGGATAAGGAATCAGGATGCATTCGGTGTCTCAATAAGAGACGAGGGACATGAGAGACGTCTTCTGCTGAGAGGACATCCAGTGATTTAGTCTGGTGAGTTTTCCTGCGTCTGGTTGTTACTCAATGTTGGCAGATAATAAAGTTAATGGCAGACATTTCCTGAACAAAGAAAAAGATATGGAAATGCACTAGAGAGGGACAATGAAATGCAGACTTCTGTTTTTCCGTTAAATGATTTTATCATGCACAGACATTATTCAATAGTGAATGAAATAAAGATGTGCAAAAATTAAGCATACACCATAATTTACCATTAAAAATTCTTGTTTGACTCAATAAATTTCAACAGCAACAAACAAAAAATATAGAAAACATGAATAAATAAAAAGTGTCTGCCTATCAAAAATGCCTTTATTTGCAATAAAACAAGTAACTTACAGGCCTGACCTGAAAGGCCAGTCAGAGAGGAAGAGTCCATCACTTCCTGGTTGGTTTTCAGTTTGTGACACCGAAAAGCTGCGAGACTTCAAAAGGCTTTCTTCTGGTAAACCTTTAAGAAAAACTGGTTTTTATTGTTCTGTGGTGCTTTAAATAACAAACTGAAGCTCCCAGAATCCACATCTCAGATTTTTATTTACTTCTATTTCTAAGCATCGCATGGTTTGACGTTTTTCCCGGGCCGACTGGCAGCTGACTTGATGCTGAAAATATGTTTCTCATTGCAGACGATGGATTTCAAATCCTCTGGAATCGGTTTCATCTGAACGAGGAGAACCAAACGCAGAAAAAAGGACGGAAAAATCGGATTTAATACTTAATAGATTATTAGTGCAAGTAGTTAGATGGTTAGTGATTAGCTAATGGTTAGTTAATGATGATTAGTTAAATAGTTAAAAGATGTATAAGATGTAAATATATTTTAAGAAAATTTTATTTCCTATACAACATTTCTGAGTTTATATATATTTATAAACTCAAATTTGAAAAAAAATATTTTAGTGGATTCAGTTCATCTCCACTTTTTTATAAGTTGTCAAAGTAAAAAAAACTTAAGAACTTTAAAAGATTTGTTTCAAATTTCACAAACTTAGAAATCTAGAAACTGTACTCAGCTTCCGTTGCCATGGAAACCACGGAGACAGGTCATCTCAAAACAAACAGACATGCAAAGACTGACTGGACATCTCTCACTGGTAAACGGTTACTTTATCACTTGACAAAAAGTTTGGACATTATACTGTTGGTGTTTTCATTTTTCCATCTTATTTGTGGTTTGTGGTGGATTTTGCAATCCAGAAACTTTTTCATAAACTCCTTCAATTTTAATTTTATCAGTCATTTTTTTTTTTTTTTTTTTTACATTATAAACATTATTGATTTGTTTATAATTTTGATTTATTGACAATTTGCTTTACTTAAACTGGAATTTCAGTGAATATCTCTGCAAAAACTGCTGCGTGTTTCACATTCGCCTCACCTGCCATTAAATATTTTACCACTTTCTCATATTATAAGACAAATCTATTGTATTGTTTTGCTAATAGTGAAACATGTTGGTAGGATATTGTGACTTGCTGTGAATTTTTACTCTTCGTATTCTTCAACAGGATCACAAAATGGAGGACTTTCTGGATTTCCTGGAGGAAGAAAACAGCAACATAAATAATCTCATCTCAATTTTTGTAATTTCAGTTCAACAACCTT